ATTGTGTTAGATTATTTCTACTGGGCTTTGACTCACCCTATTTAGGAAAAATCATTTCAGGTGTTGGTGATATGCCTCCGCCAAGGCAATAGCTTGAAGGGACTTTGGAGCAAGAGCTTCACTTTTTGTATTTGTTTTGTGTAGCCAAGGCCTTTAATTGTATAAAGCTAGACTCTCTTTTGTTGTAACCAAGCAATGACTTAGAAAGATGTAAGAATTTAGAGCATTTAAATATCTGTTTAGCTTTCATTCTCTTACTACATGTAGCACATGCTGTAAATTCAGGATGAACTGTTTATGAATGTACATTGCATGTGTCACTTTTATATAACAATCCAGATTAATGAAAGCTTATTATTTCAATTATGTTGTCTTGTGTTAAGTTATGATTGAGTTGTATTATTATAATTATTTCGGGGCGTTACAGCGAGCAAGATGAGACATTAGTTATCTCGATGCTTAGAGAGTGAGTGATGTAAATGTTTTGTAACTTGAGAAGTGAACAAAACTAATTCATTATGAGATGTCGCCTTAGCATTGGCTAAGATAAGACTCTAAAAAGTCAAATATGAAGTTATTCACAGCTTCATGAAGTCTGAAGATAGCCAAATGTGAGGTCTTAGATAGGCACTTGATGAGCGCATATGCTAAGAAACTCAAGTTGGGCACTGATATAGCAACTAGACTAAGATTCGTATGGCGTTAGAGAGTGACAGACCCAATCTAGTGGAAGCTCCGCCGTAACATATATATCATACTGTATGTGCTACTATCGACCACTCAAGGGAGTGGCTAGATGGAACCCTACTTTAGTACTGTGTGAGCCCTATTAGGCCAATAATAGGCCTACACTATGCCCTTGAACCTGGAACTATGTCATGAACTGATGACTTGATGTCGTTACTTTAGCATGTCATCCAAGGGTCACGATAAATATGATCCAGAGGACCATGTCTAGGAAAGCAGTCAAGTTTGAATGAATTGACATGAGTGGCTAGGGAAGATTGTTGGAAATCATACCCTTGTATTGTAGCTCATTGCCCGGGCAATTGTGTTTGATTTGAGATGGCGATATAATCATGAGTACAGATACAGTGGTGAGGTCAGACATGTTTATGAGCTATGACTCGCGAAGGGTTTTAAAATGTTTGATAGGGTGTGATCCAATGAATATGGGATGTAGACGAGATATTTTGAGTGATGTGCTAGGTTAGTTTATGGTGGCTTAATATAACACTCCTACCTTTATACCTTCTCGTCAAGTTGCTTGCTCCATTTTTTCGTATGAGGAGTGGACTGAATGAGAGATTGAGAAATGACAATCGTGAATGTAACTAATGATGTGGACGAGTGGGAGATGTTTGAAATTGGGCTAGATTTGACCTGACCCATTACCATGGAGCATTCACATGGGTTATTGATAATTCACATATTTAATAAATAAGATAATTAAGAGACTATCTTTTAGGTGTTTGAGTTATTGTGGGAGACTACAACTCCATCTATTAGGAGAGAATCTCTATATATTTGATATAGAGAAAAATAATAATACATATTATTATTTGGTGTATGAGTTTACTCAAAAATCTCCTGTAGAATTTCTCTCTATGTTCTTCCCTCTTAGGTCACCATTAGAGAACCTAGGGATTTGGAGTGTGGATACAACATTAAAAAACTCTGATAGCTTCTCAATTGACAAAGGGTTTTCCAGATGAGGCTCGTAATCTAAGCATGCGATCCAAACCATTTCTGTTTCAGGTCATATGATTACCCGCATATTTTTCCTTCATATGATATTACAATTCTAAACCAAGTTGAGAAACCAGGATTATTACATCCTAGGTTTAAACTTAGGTAGTTATATTTTTCATCTTAAATACATCTTTATTTTTTTAAAAGAAATGTAAGTAAATTATATATTTATATAAAAACAGATTTATAAGTACATATACGTATGTAATAAGTACATATGCGTATATAATATTTTAATAATATGATCAAATCCTCCTGCAAAAAATATTCCTAAGCTTGACCCATTTAAGAAAGGGATAATTGATGACAAGTCCTTTTCTAGGGGATATAGCATTTGATCTAAAGACTAGTCTTTTTATGGAGACAAGAACATGATTTAAATGAAATTGTGATAAATTATTGTTTTGAAATAATTTTTTTTTTTTCCATTTTTATCCCACCGTCACTAGATCACCATCAAATCACTAGCAACGACTGGTGATAATATGAACAGATAGACATATTAGGTACATAGATAGGTAACACGATAATAAATAAGAAAACAACATTTGGACAAGTCAACAAATAGATAACACTTGAACATATATGTGACGATAGGTTGACAGTGCACAAATTGACATATAAGTATGTGTAATATGATCTTTTCAAATTATTTTGTCCTTTCAATCCCAACAAAATAAACTTCAGAATTATTATTCTAAAAATTTTAAAATTGAACTTATTTAATAAATAGGTCTAGAAAGTCCTGCCAACCTAATCTAGTCCATGAATTTTCAATTTACTCAATCATACTAAGGAATAAGTTCTCGTTGGTAGCTCGTTTGGCTTCTCTCAAGTTGTCATCTTAATTTGAGAGAGCATTTTGGCTTAGGTCTATATTTTGGAATTAATTTCGATAATTCAAATCGTTCACTTCTTAAGACTCGTTGAGTAGAATATTCATGTAAAAAAATTAAGATGATTAAACGTCAATAACTATATATTTGAATCAGATTTGTATTTGAAAAATAAACGATTTAAGAATAGTCATCCTTTTTTTATAATACAAATTTTATTCAAATATATATATTTGAATCATATTTGTTTTTAAAAAATGAACGACAAATATAATTTTAAAAGAGTTAATTACCCAAAAGACCTATTTATAAATGTTATGGTAGCTCAAGTCCTACCTAAGATTTTTTGAACCAATAAATCCTATTCAGTAAAACTAAGAATATTATCAGTTTTTCACAATTTTTAAAACTAAGAACATTATCAATTTTCCATAGTAATGTTCTAGATAATTGTTTCACTAACTGATGAAAAGAAACAGAACATGTAATTAAAAGTTTTGTCCTTCTAGTTATTGGTTTGATTCAACTATCTAATAAAATCGAGACCATTATTAGTTTTTTCTAATTTTAAAACTGAGAACATTATCAGTTTTTTCATTTTTAAAGTTTTTTTTTTTTTTTTGCACATCAATGTTCCATCATCATATTCCTTTATAAATACAAAATTTTCAGTTTTGCACAAAAAAATAATTCAATTTTTTCAAAAAAAAAATTATTTATTTAGTTTTTTTAGTTTTTTCAATTCGAAAGTTGATATTTTAAAGTTTTGAGAAATATTAAAAAAAATGTCAAATCATCATGTTCCTTCATAAATGATCATAAATGATGAACAATCATTATTTGAAGGACAATTCAGACTATTAAAATTTTGGAAAAATTACTCATAAATCTCATATTGGGAAATGTTGCTCTATCTAGTCCTGAGTGTTATTTTGTAAACCATTTAGTCCTTTTTATATTTTGTATGGTATTTTTGTTTGTTATATTTTATATTTGGTATGGTATCTTTGTTTGTTATATTGTATAAACTTCAATATATTATATCACATATTGGTGTATGATGATGTTTGATGAGGTTGAAGATATAGTTGATGTTTCACAATGTTGGTGATGTTGATGATGTATGATGATTTAGTTGATGTTGATGATGTTGATGTTGATGATGTTTTATGATGTTGGTGATGTTGATGGTGTTTGATGAGGTTGAAGATGTAGTTGATGTTTGATGATGTTCACAATGTTGGTGATGTTGTAGTTGATGTTTGATGATGTTGATGATGTTTTATGATGTTGGTGATGTTGATGATGTTTGATGATGTAGTTGATGTTTTATGATGTTGGTGATGTTGATGATGCTTGATGATGTAGTTGATGTTTGATCAATATTGATGATGTTTTATGATGTTGGTGATGTTTGATGATGTAGTTGATGTTGATGATGTTGTTGGTGTAGTTAATATTACTGATGTTTGGAAATGAGAGAAATCTAAAAAAGGTCTATAGTGAGCTTTTAACATTCAAATAGGACTTATTAGTCTACAAAATAAAAGGCAGGACCAAATGGTTTAATAAATTAAAATTTAGGATTTATTGGTGTTTTGCCCAATTATAATAGGACTTTAAGGTCCAAAAAATCTTAATTAAGATTTAATGGAATATAAGTTCATACATTAAAACTTGTATGTAAATGCCCCTTTTAAAAGTAGTCATTCATTTTTTATAATACAAATTTTATTCAAATATCTAGCTACCAAAATTTGATCATTTTGATTTTTTTATATGAATATTCTACTCAACGATTCTTAAAAAGTAAACGTTCGGATTATCAAAATTGATTTTAAAATAAACCTACTAAATCTAAATGCTCTATCAAATTGAGATGATTGAGAAAACCATTGTCCAAAAATGTTAATTACCTGCAGTGTCTTTATCAATTTAAAAAGACAGTGCCCCATGTGCAGGTTGGTTTGGAATGTTCTAAAAAAGTGTACTTTTTGACTTGTTGGCTTATGTGGATTGGGTTTGGATTGGGTTTGATGTGATGTGTTAGAGAGGTGATGTGATTTAAATGAGATGATGTGACTTAAATAGGATAGTGACTTTTTGATTTATCGTATTATTTAGTAGATGCCAAACTTAGATATCCAATTTCATGGGTAAGAGAACCCAAAATAATAATAATAAATAAATAAATGAAAAGAAAAGAAAATTACACAAATATCTATTCATTTTCTTCTCATTGCTTGTATATATATTTTATATTTATCAGAAAAAAATGAAAATCCAAGAGAAATTAAGAAGCAATACAAAGTGAAAATCCAACAGGGTCAGGTCGAAGCAAAGTAGTTGTAATAGAATAAAACACAATGGTTAAGTCAAGTAAATTGAAAAATTTTATTTTTGTTTTGGTACCTTGGATTTGAGAAGCAGTACAGCAAGCACAACAGGGAGCCCTCTGAAGTAGATGACAAACGAAGCAATGTAATACTACTGAGCAATCGCCAATTGGACCAAACAGTGCCTACCTATATGCTAGCATTTCTGATGGACAAGTTAAAATATTTGTTAGTGTCAGTTGATTAAATGATGACCATGTTAAATGGTTTACGAAATGCTTAGTTTTTTTAATTTATTTGTTAACTACTTGGATTAATGGGATCGATTTTTCCCCAATTCATGGAAATTCCCATTATGCACACTCATAAAATGAATATATTATACGCACATAACTATGTTTTGTGATTCATATTACATATTTTTTAATAATTACGTAATCTTATGATAGCAATATTACACATTTTTTCATAGAAATTTTGAACCACAAAATGTATAATATTACATTGATTCAATAAATATAGGTCACGATATTATCATATTTTTCTTTAAAAAAATAAATAGATTATTTAAAAAATTATCTTTACCGTCTATTTTTTTTTTTAAAAAAGGTAAATTACACTTACCTCCCCCGAAGTTTCTGAATCTCCCCTATAATTTTAATAATTACACTAACCTCTCTTACTTTTGAAACTATTATCAAGGTTCTTCTAATGTTACCCTCTATTAGGCTATTTAACAGAATTTGGTGATATCAGAGGTTATAATACCAAAATAGATGAAATAGCCCATTAGTTACCCTATCTATTCAAATGAGAAATTTCACTCGCCTCTCATGAGGTTTTGCATATACATATCAAAGACTCATATATATTTTAGCATTATTTAATAAAATTATTAAATTTTATGCAATATTAAATAAAACCCTTAAATTGTTAAAACATTATTAAAACATTTTATGGAGAGAAAAAAAACTTAATTTTCATTGATAAAATACTTTAACATAAGCAATCTCTCTAAAATTAATATTAGATAACATCCTAATAATTTAATATAATATTTATTTCACACTTCATAAACAAGTAAAATTTATCATTTTAAGAAATAAACAAGTAAAATTTATCATTTTAAGTAATGCATTTATTATTTAAAGTTGAAATAAATAGATTTATTTGTTTCCCAACAACTTGCATTACTTATTTATTCATATGTAAAAAATATATATATATATATATTATTTTATCTTTTCTCAATCATATATTATTCTCAAATTTTAATTTTTACCTTTGAGTCATTAAATTTCTAGTCGATGCATATTTAAAAAAACATAGGTTAATATTTCTTAAATGATTTAAAAAATTAAAATTAATACAGAAGTAAAAATATATATATATACCGCACAATAAATTAAAATTAGTTGATAAGGATAAAAAGATCAATAAATCATTTGAGAATAATAAACAATTCAAACAATTTATCATTTCTTACACCTAAAATTAAAATTAATTTTTACTTGAATGGATAAATTATTTGAGAATAATAAAATATATACTAAATTAATTTTTTATTTATGATACTTCAAATCTATTCTCCATCTTTATTTATCTCATGTAAACTTTATTAAATTAATTTTTCACCTTCATTAATGGTTGAATTTTTATTTTATTTTTTGTTTACAAAAGTTCAAAACTTGTCGAAAAAAAAAAAAAAGAATCAACAAATTACATTTATATTTTGAAAAAAAATTAGGAAAATAAATAATAATTTCATATATATATTTATTAGGGTAGATTAATTAATTTAGTGAATTTAAGGTTAAGATTAATGTTGATAATAAATGAGTTTGGTTTACCTCTCAAAAACCTCAGGGATTTACTTCTATATTTATTTCTTAATTATTTTTAATCAGGTAAGAAATATTAACTTGCGTTTTTTTAAATATACATCGACTAAAAATTTAATGACTCAAAAATAAAAATTCAAATTTGATAATAATATACGATTGAGAAAAGATAAAATAATAATTTTTTATATATACATAAATAAGTCATGCAAATTGCTTAGAAAAAAAATAAAGGGTAAATTACGAAAGTAGTCCTTACACTTTATCCCTTGTGCCATTTTAGTCTCTGTATTTTCAATTAGCTCGATTTTGATCTTGAATTTATGATTTTATCTCAATTTAGTCTAATTAATTACAACTCTTTAACATTTTTTTTTTTTTATAGAACATACGCACATAAGTGCCATATGCTATATTTTTAAGGCAAATTTATAAACTTACTCAATTCAGTTAGTTAATCTCAACCAATTTAGTGATAATTTTCTTTAAAAAATATTAACAATATTATTAATTGGACCAAATTGAAATAAAATTTAAAATTAATGGTTAAAATTGAGTCAATTGAAAGTGTAAGGACTAAAATGATACAAGCGGTAAAATATAGGGACCATCGGTGTAATTTGCCCAAAAAATAAATCCATTTATTTCAACTTAAAAAAATTCAAATAATAACTGCATTACTTAAAATGATAAATTTTACATTGTTTATGTATAAAATAAGTCTTATATCAAATTATTAAGATATTATCTAACATTAATTTTAGAAAAATTGTTTATTTTTAAGGTGACCATAGGTTGACAGTGCACAAATTGACTTATAAATATGTGTAATATGATCTTTTCAAATTATTTTGTCCTTCCAATCCCTACAAAATAAACTTCAGAATTATTATTCTAAAAATTTTAAAATTGAACTTATTTAATAAATAGGTCTAGAAAGTCCTGCCAACCTAATCTAGTCCTTCATGAATTTTCAATTTAGGCTAAGTTTGGGAGGTTCAAAAAAAGCCAAAAAGTCAAAAAGTTATTATCCTATTTAAGTCACATCATCTTATATAAGTCACATCACCTCTCTATCACATCACTTCAAACCCAACCCATATTTCATAAAAATTCAAAAAGTACACTTATTTAGAACATTCCAAACAACCCCTTACTCAATCATACTAAGGAATAAGTTCTCGTTGGTAGCTCGTCTGGCTTCTTTCAACTTGTCATCTTAATTTGAAAGAGCGTTTTGGCTTAGGTCTATATTTTGGAATTAATTTCGATAATTCAAACCGTTCACTTCTTAAGACTCATTGAGTGGAATATTCATGTAAAAAAATTAAGATGATTAGACGTCAATAACTATATATTTAAATCAGATTTGTATTTGAAAAATAAACTATTTAAGAATAGCCATCCTTTTTATATAATACAAATTTTATTTAAATATATATTTGAATCATATTTGTTTTTAAAAAATGAACGACAAATATAATTTTAAAAGAGTTAATTACCCAAAAGTCCTATTTATAAATGTTATGGTAGCTCAAGTCCTACCTAAGATTTTTTGAACCAATAAATCCTATTTAGTAAAACTAAGAATATTATCAGTTTTTCACAATTTTTAAAACTAAGAACATTATCAATTTTCCATAATAATGTTCTAGATAATTGTTTCCCTAACTGATGAAAAAAAACAGAACACGAAATTAAAAGTTTTGTCCTTCTAGTTATTGGTTTGATTTAACTATCTAATAAAATCGAGAACATTATTAGTTTTTTCTAATTTTAAAACTAAGAACATTATCAATTTTTTCATTTTTAAAGTTTTTTTTTTTTTTTTTGCACATCAATGTTCAATCATCATATTCCTTTATAGATACAAAATTTTCAATTTTGCACAAAAAAAAATAATTCAATTTTTTCAAAAAAAAATTAATTATTTAGTTTTTTTAGTTTTTTCAATTTGAAAGTTGATATTTTAAAGTTTTGAAAAATATTAAAAAAATGTCAAATCATCATGTTCCTTTATAAATGATCATAAATTATGAACAATCATTATTTGAAGGGCAATTCAGCTATTAAAATTTTAATAGGACTATAACGTCCAAAAAATCTTAGTTAGGATTTAATGGAGTATAAGTTCATAAATTAAAACTTGTATGTAAATGCCCCTTTTAAAAGTAGTCATTTATTTTTTATAATACAAATTTGATTCAAATATCTAGCTACCAAAATTTGATCATTTTAATTTTTTTATATGAATATTCTACTCAACGGTTCTTAAAAAGTAAACGTTCGAATTATCAAAATTGATTTTAAAATAAGCCTACTAAATCTAAATGCTCTATCAAATTGAGATGATTGAGAAAAGTTAAACCATTGTCCAAAAATGTTTATTACCTGCTGTGTCTTTGTCAATTTAAAAAGACAGTGCCCCATGTGCAGAAAAGAGTAGAGACTAGATATCCAATTCCATGGGTAAGAGCATCTCCAACGGTTATTTAAAATTTTCACTAAATTTGAGTTAAACAATGTCAATTTTCTCAATCTGATACCGCTTGTTCCAATCGTGCCTCAAACCGTGCGTCAAAGGGAGTGGTCAACCGGCCGGTCGATCGTTTAGAACAATTTTTTTTTAACCTGTTTGAACCTTTTGACCTGTTTGAACCTACCAATTTAAAAGGGAACCGGTTGACTGGTTGGTCAACCGACCGGGCAATCGGTTGGTCTCCTCCAACGGTCCAGAACAGTGAAATGCTAAAATACAGAGTTTGTCCTCAGTTTGGTGAAATGTTTGAGTAATTCTCATTTTGATATCAGTTTGATGAAACCGTTGGAGCCAAAAAAGCTACTTTTTTCACCAAATTCATATTAAGAGAACCCAAAATAATAATAATAAATAAATAAATAAATAAAAATTACACAAATATCTATTCATTTTCTTCTCATTGCTTGTGTATATATTTTATATTTATCAGAAAAAAAATGAAAATCCAAGAGAAATTAAGAAACAATACAAAGTGGAAATCCAAAAGGGGCAGGTCGACGCAAAGTAGTTGTAATAGAATAAAACAGAATGGCAAGTCAAGTAAATTGAAAATTTTTATTTTTGTTTTGGTACCTTGGATTTGAGAAGTAGCACAACAAGCACAAAGGGAGCCCTCTGAAGTAGATAACAAACGAAGCAATGCAATACCACTGAGCAATCGCCGATTAGCCCAAACAGTGCCTACGATATGCTAGCATTTGTTAGTGTCAGCTGATTAGATCACCATGTTAAATGGTTTACGAAATGCTTAGTTTTTTAAATTTATTTGTTAACTCTTTAGATTAATGGGATGGATTTCTGCCCAATTCATAGAAATTGCTTCTATGCACACTAATAAAATGAATATATTATACGCACATTATTATGTATTTTTGTGATTCATATTACATATTTTTCTTGATAACTGTTACGTAATCTTATAATAAAATTATTATAATTAGTATTTCAGAAATAAAGTTATGCAGTTTATAGCAATATTACACATTTTTCATAGAAATTTTGAACCACAAAATGTATAATTACATTGATTCAATAAATATAGGTCATGATATTATCATATTTTTCTTTAAAAAAAAAACTAAGAGATTATTTTAAAAATAATCTTTACTGTCTATTTTTTTAAAAAAGGCAAATTACACTAACCTCCCTGGAAGTTTCTGAAGCTCCCCTATAATTTCAATAATTATACTAACCTCTCTTACTTTTGAAACTATTATCAAGATTCTCCTACTGTTATCCTCTATTAGGCTGTTTAATAGAATTTGTTGATGTCATAGGTTATAATACCAAAAAAGATGAAATAGCTCATTAGTTACCTTATCTATTCAAATGAGAAATTTCACTCACCTCCCCTGAGATTTTGCATATACATTATCAAAAACTCATATATATATTTTTTAGCATTATTTAATAAAATTATTAAATTTTATGCAATATTAAATAAAACCCTAAAACTGTTAAAACATTATTAAAGCATTTTATGGAAGAAAAAAAAAACTTAATTTTCATTGATAAAATACTTTAAAATAAACAATCTCTCTAAAATTAATATTAGATAACATCCTAATAATTTAATATAAGATTTATTTCACACTACATAAACAACGTAAAATTTATCATTTTAAGTAATGCATTTATTATTTAATTTTTTTTAAAGTTGAAATAAATAGATTAATTTTTTTCCCAACAACTTGCATTACTTATTTATTCATATGTAAAAAATATATATATTATTTTATCTTTTCTCAATCATATATTATTCTCAAATTTTAATTTTTAACTTTGAGTCATTAAACTTCTAGTCGATGTATATTTAAAAAAACACAAGTTAATATTTCTTAAATGATTTTAAAAAATTAAAATAAATATAAAAGCAAAAAAAATATAATTGCTGCACAATAAATTAAAATTAGTTCACAAGGATAAAAAAGATAAATAAATCATTTGAGAATAATAAACAATTCAAACAATTTATCATTTCTTACACCTAAAAGTAAAATTAATTTTTACTTGAATGTATAAATTATTTGAGAATAATAAAATATATACTAAATTAATTTGTTATTTATGATACTTCAAATTTATTTCTCCATCTTTATTTATCTCATGTAAACTATTTTTATTAAATTAAATTTTCACCTTCATTAATGGTTGAATTTTTATTTCATTTTTTGTTTACAAAAGTTCAAAACTTGTTGTGAAAAAAAAATAGAATCAACAAATTACATTCATATTTTGAAAAAATTAAGAAAATAAATAATAATTTCATATATATTTACTAGGGTAGATTAAATTTAGTGCATTTAAGGTTAAGATTAATGTTGATTATAAATGAGTTTGGTTTAATTGTCAAAACCCTCAGGGATTTACTTCTATATTTATTTCTTAATTTTTTCTAATCATGTAAGAAATATTAACTTGCGTTAAATATATAAAAATTTAATAACTCAAAAAAAAATTCTAATTTGATAATAATATATGATTGGGAAAAGATAAAATAATAATTTTTTTACATATACATAAATAAGTCATGCAAATTGCTAAGAAAAAAATAAAGGGTAAATTACGACGGTAGTCCTTATACTTTATCCCTTGTGTCATTTTAGTCTCTGAATTTCAATTAGCTCGATTTTGATTTTGAATTTATGATTTTATCTCAATTTGGTCTAACTAATTACAACTCTTAACATTTTTCTTTATAGAAAATATGCGCATAAGTGTCCCATGATATATTTTTAAGGCAAAATTATAAACTTACTCAATTCAACTAGTTAACCTCAACCAATTTACTGATAATTTTCTTTAAAAAATACTAACAATATTATTAATTGGACTAAATTGAAATAAAATCTAAAATTAAGGGTTAAAATTGAGTCAATTGAAAGTGTAAGAACCAAAATGATACAAAGGGTAAAATATAGGGACCACTAGTGTAATTTGTCCAAAAAATAAATCCATTTATTTCAACTTTAAAAAAATTCAAATAATAACTGCATTACTTAAAATGATAAATTTTACATTGTTTATGTATGAAATAAGTCTTATATTAAATTATTAAGATATTATCTAACATTAATTTTAGAGAAATTGTTTATTTTTAAGTATTTTATCGATAAAAATTAAGTTTTTTTCTATTAAATGTTTTAATAATATGTTAACAATTTAAGGGTTTTATTTAGTATTGCATAAATTTAAGGTTTTATTAAATAATACTAAATATTTATGAGTCTTAATAATATATATGTAAAACTTTAGTGGATGTAAGTATAATTTACTCATGTTAATAATGAATAAGGCTTCTTACTTTATGAGTATTTTTGTCTTTTCACGGATAAACCAAAGAGTAATATAGTCATTTTCACACCCAAGTAACGTTGTACGAACTTAACAAATTGAGAAATTCTTGATATTTTTAGTAAAAATAAGGAAAGTTTCTGTAATTATTCAAACTACATGGAAAGTTCCTGTAATTATTAAAAATCTCTAGGGAGGTAAGTGTAATTTATCCATTTTAAAACAAATATAATTAAAAATATATATATTTATAAAAGATCTATCCACATAATCAAATAGAAAAATGTTTGGAAGTTCTAAACTATGAGGTTTAAAGGAGTTCTAGGGGTGGACCCCACTCATTGATATGATATTTTGGCCTTAAGTTTTTTTTTTTTCTGCCTTTTTTTTTAATATTCACCTCATTAGTGTTCAATTAGTGCTCATAAATTAAAAGGATGAATCATTGTTGGACTTCGGAGCACAAGTGCCTCTATTTTAGGATAGGAAAGAATCTTCCCCTTTATTGATTTATTTGTCAAGAGTCAAGAATAATTAGTCTATTGATGGAGTAAGGGTGATAAACGAGTTAAATGAATTGAACAGTTACTATTTTATTTTGGTTTGAAAATTTTAATGAATTTTAAAATTTATTTAAATTTGATTCGTTAAACTTTTAAATTGATTTCAAATGAGTTTTTGTTCAATTGAATTAAAAAAGTCTGATATTTTTATATAATTTTAAACTTTTCAAATTGAGCTCAAATAAAATAAAAAAAGGTTAAAAAATATATATATATATCTTTAAAAAGTGGATAATTTTCGAAAAGATTTTAAAAATTAAAAAAAAAATCGTTAAAAAAAAGAAGATCGCCAAACAAATTTTTTTTTTAAATAAATAAAATAAAAATACAAACGAGAAAAGTGTTGAATTGACAGCCACCAAAATATAAACAAAGAAACCACGTAAATCTCAGTCATGATTGAAGAAAAATAAAAGAATAGCAAAGCTAAACCTGAAGAGGATATAGATCTAAGATAGGCCCTTTAGTAAATATATGTAAGCCATAACCATGGCTACAAATAAATAAATAAAATAAAAAATATTAAGGAACTCACTATGAGCTTTTCTTGTGAACCCCAATTTCGAGTCTTCAAGGGTGGTGTTGCGAATCAAGGACAGGCGTGGAGGCTAAGGGTTTCTTCAAAGAGAGTGAGAGTGAGAGAGTGAGAGAGAGAGAGAGAGTGCAGGGAAAGATTTCTGAGAGAGAGAGAGGGGTTGTGACTAGTATTTATTAAAAAACAATTATCTATTTTATGTTTTATTATTAAAAAAAAAGAAGGAATCCACTCAGAAGGAATCCACTCAACATTTTTTACTACTAATAAAAAAGTAGCTTTTTATTATCTACCAAGGTTATCAATTTTTCTAACAATAAATTCACTATAAAAATAAATTTAGTTTGGGTTTTTTAAAAATATTTTTCAGAAAATTCTATTTTCTTATTTTTTGTATTTTTTTTTACTAAATTTTTGTAATATTTTAACCAATTTTTTTAATTTTTAGACACATCTAATATAAATACACTTAAAAAATATATTTTTCTTGAAAAAAAAATCTCTAAAAAATTCACTAATTATCAAAAGTAAAAAAATAAAAAATCTTTTTATATACATCTACATAAAGTGTATCTAAAAAAGTAAAAAAAAAAAATTCTTAAAATTTTAAAAATATTTATTAAAAAAAAAACACAAAAAACAAAAAATTTTATTTCTAAAAATTTGAATTCAAAAAATTGAAATTAAACACACTAATTATTTTCAAAAAAAAGTGGTAGACGCAGAAATTATGACTAGAGTTGGCCGTATATATGTGTTAAAAATCGACAACAAAGTTCTATTATTTCATTCATAATAAAGATAATAAAAGCATATAAAAATAATCACATTGATCTTGGTGTTTTATAGACATTTATACAACCGATGCAAATATTGGTATCATTGGATGTATATTACCACTATTATGATGGGAACATCTTGGGAGTAAGTTTCTAAAATTAATATTAGGAGAACCATATCTATCTATCAAAAATAATTTATGATGGGCATGGCCCAAGACGGCCCAATCTATGGTTATCTTGAATTGCCCAAACAGATACTTGGTTAAAGCCTAGTAGGTGAAGCCCAACAACAGGCCCTGTGGGGAACCTGCACTAGTTCAGGACTAGTCGCATTTGGACATGTGTCAAGTAGGAAGTTAGTCACGTGGTAGACAAAGATCCTATAGAGTTATTGAAATCATACACCAGGCATTAAATGAGGCAGTCATGGCATTAAATGTAGCAAGACCTCTCGCTTTGGGGCATGGTGAATGACCGATGGCAAATAGACTATAAACTTTTGGCTAATGAGACAGCTTTAATAGACAAGGAAATGCTTGGTAAGAGATATAAGGAAGCCTCCCAAGAATGTTTGGGAACAAGTGACATACTCTCTCCGTCTCCATTCTAATTACTCTCTTAAGTTTCCCTGAGCTCTTACTCTAGTCATATCTTCATCTAACTTGGTTGTCAGAGGGTACACATGAAGGAACCATCCCCATTTCGGAACCTTCCTATTATACTTGTTGCAGGTCTAACTAGGAGGACAAAGGTCAATCACCTCATGGAGTGCTTGGATCAGTCCGACCTATCTCCTACCGACAAAACTGCATAATCAGTTGGTGCTGTCTGTGGGAACTTGCTCTGGTTGACAATTGTGTTCATTGTCGCCGGAAATAGTTCCACCCTCACCTACCTTTTACGTCGGATTGAATGGTTATGACGAGATCTATGGCTTCGCAACATAATGCTAGAAACCCTCAAGTCATGGGGGAAATAATTTTGCCCTTTAAATTCAACAATTCAAAAGTCAAGTCAAAAGGATAAAATAGTCATTTTGCTTCTACTATAATATTTTATTACATATTTTTTTGTAAAAAGTCAAAAAATTATTCTAAATATACAACTTTTTTTTTCTGCTTTTTTAACTAAAAAAATCAAAAAGTACATTTATATAACACATCCCAAACAATCATTTACTTGTCCACGTTTCATTATCTATTTATTCACATATTATCTATCTATCCATCTAATCTATTGATTTGTTCGTATCAAAATTACCACCAATTGCTACCGTCAACAATTTTTTTCAACCATTTTTCAGATGACTTTTCTTGTCATTTTTTCATTGATTTTTCTATCCAACTGTGATCCGACAAAGATCAAGCGACAATGGAACCAAAAAAAAAAATTTTAAAAAAATCTTTCAAAATATCAATTTGTCATTTCTATCAAATAATTTTATTATAATATTATTATCTTCCTACAAAACAAAAAAATAATAAATAAATCATTAAATCTAATGTCATATATCCATAGAAATAAGCTGAACCCTGACAAATTTTAAAAAATTTTAACTATCTAATTAATTTTAAAAATTATGATAATACTTTAAAATTATTAAATAATTAGGCTTCGTTTGAGAAGTGAGTTGAGTTTTTAGTTATTTTAACATGAGGTTAAAAAGTTTGATTTGAGAATGACTTTTAATTTTTTTTAATTTTTTTGACTTTTTTTATGAGAGAATAAATGTAATAATTATAGATTAAATATGATATTTTATCTTATTAAATTAAAAAATTTATTTTATTTTTTATGACTATTTTAATCAGAAAATTTTCAAACCCAACTTCCCAAAGATAGTCTTGGTAATGAATCAATTTGTAAGACTGACCACAACAAAATAAGTCATCATGCGTCTTTGCAGGTGGACCCTCATTGAAGACAATTTTCTGATTAAAGTTGGTGCTACGTCACATGCACGTCTCATTCCGAAAAAATTATTGAGAAAATATCAAATCAATAGTCTTTTTATATAAGGGTAATGATACATCCCACTAAAAGTGGTACTCTAAAGCATCACTAATGAGTTGACAAGCACTTTAACTATAAAAAAAAAAAAACACAAGACACAAGCAGTAGGTCCCGTCCACTGTCACATCACTAGTGGTGCTTTTAGAGCACCACTTTTAGTGATCTCAAGCATTATTGTTTTATATAATTAGTAATGAGCTAATTTCTAAGAATGAGATAAGAAAGTTTAGTCATCACGCATCTTTGTGGACCCCTATTGAAGGGAAAATTATTCTTTGTTCACGAGGCAATATGATAGAGAAATTTTATTTTTATACATTTAATTAGTTTAAGATACATATTTAATAAAATATTAATTTAATGACAATTATATTATAAATAAAAATGATCAGAATAGACATTCAGCAACATCCATAGTATAATATGGAAAAATTCTCTGTACATTTCTTTTAAAAATAAAAAAAATCTCATTGTACAACTTTTGATTTTAAAAAAAATAAACCATAAATTTTAAATTGTTGTTACTTTGCTTGAATAAATAATCCAGTTGAAAACAATGCTCCATTTTGTTCAGTGAAGAACACATGGAGGAAGTCTTGAACAAACAATCTAATCAAAAACCCTACTCCATTTTGTTCAGTGATAAAGAACACGGTAAGAAATATAATTGACTGGCATATCAGTGGGGCTGGTGGCCTAACAATCCAATCACAAAAAAGACCAAATTTTTTTAAAAAAAAAATAGAGAAAACTCTTATTAAGTATATCTTCTTTCACAAAATCTTTTAACTAAGCGACAACCAGAGTTCTATCAAAGTTACCAACCAAAAGAGAAGACAGAGAGAGAGAGACCAAAAGAGAAGACAGAGAGAGAGAGAGAGAGAAAGGGAGTACCAATCTTAAATACTTGTACACTTTTGATCATTAACATATGGTTCCACATTCTTCACTCAATTTTATCCCAAGTATTTTATTTCATTTATTTACAACCAAATGAGAGAGTTAAGAGCTGATAAATACAAAACCGAAGAAATTCATCAAATACGGAAACTAATAATCGATATTTGATTTTTTTTGGAAGTAATTTGTCGAAATAATACAATTTATTCGGTAGTTATGTTTCGAATTTAATCTATTTTTTCGGAAACCTAGTGCTGAAAGCCCCAAACCGTCACTCGTAAGACCGAAATCGAAGGTTTTATGCCAATAAAGTGTACATAAATCCGAAAATGATAAATGTAATAACAAAATAATAAATGTGATAAGAAAATGGAAAGATTTTTTTACCTTCAACATTATTTTGGAGGATTTACAATGGTCTTCAATGGAGGTCTTCTGTGCAAGTCTTCAATGGAGGAAATTTCACTTCAGGCCAAAGTCTTTTTCAAGGGCGTGGTGGGTCAATGTGGAAGTAGGGTCAATCAAAAGTGTGTGAAAAGATGGATAGTGGTGTGTGTATAATAGTTATAAATGAATGGTATAATTATAACTTTAAGTGTGCGGATTGACAAAATTAATTGATAATCAAATTAATAGATATGTGTATTGTGAAAAGATGAGCTTTAAATTAAGTGTGTGGAAATAGAATTTCCCAATATGACGTGGTGTCTAACATAATTGTCATTTATTAAATTAATGGGATTTATTATCTTTTGGTTTCCTTTTAAGAGATAATTAAACACTTATCTTTAAATAAGTAATGTACAACAATATTTCAAACCACCAAATAATTTTTCCTATTGAAGACAACTTTCGAATGACTCATTAAGGCCCATTTTGAAAAGATTGACCTTTCAATTTTTATTTTATTTTAAATCATATTACTACTCTATTCTTTTATAGAGATTTTTATTGATGAATCATATTTAGAAGTGTTCTAGTTCAAGAATTTTATGAAGAAATTCTTTTACCCACTAAGTCTCATGTATTTATATTTTTATTCTATAAAGTCTTTTTTTTTTTTCCGTTTACACTATTTTCTTAGATTCTTATACCCTTATATTTAATATTGATATTTAATTTTAATATTTAATCTTGGAGGAAGAGAGAGAAGGGAAAGGACCAAGGCATAAAAAATTTCATACACAAATTAAATAATATTGATATTATTATTTTATATTATTGGATAATGTGAATATATTTTTAATTGATAATAAATTAAAAATAATGTGAACATTCTCTCTCATCTGATGTGAATATATTTTTAATTGACAATACATTAAAAATAATGTGAATATTCTCTCTCATCTAATGTGAACCTTAATACCACATTTATCACAACGTCATCTGATGTGAACATTTACTGTAACGCCCCGACCCTTCGCACGTCATCGATATTGTCCGCTTTGGGCC